AGTTAGATGTATAGGTAATGGGTACATATCAGCGGAGCATGCAAAAATTGATCCAAGTGACTACAGAAGGCATAGCCACCAACATGAAAGAAGTCGGACCTGCTTTCGTTTAATAGTGATCCTTCCAATCGATGTCACACTTCCTGACTGAAGTTGCTTTAATTGGTTATTCGCTCTTCGTAATCGGTATTCAATGAGAAGTAGATCGGATGGCTGGTAGCGTGTCGCTGCTTCACGGAATTCAGTCTGCACCTGCTGACGTATTGAAGGATCAAGTGGGCGGACTGCACGAAGAAAGTCTCGATATGTTTTAAGTACAAGAAGCTGTAGTTTAGAGTGAGCTCGACCAGCACTCATGTACTCGGCGCGACCGCCTAAATCGAAAGAAAGCAATCTATTTCAGTAAGGTTGAGAGAACAGATGAAAACGCGGACAATCAATTCGAACTGGCAATCACAGGTGCATGTCTAGAGCGAATTAGCTCGAAAGGGGATCCAGACTTATAGACTTTGGAAGAGTTAGCCTTATGAAGGAACACTTGAGAATAGAAACATCGCTGATATTATTATGTGATGAAATAACCTGTACCACCCCTTCCTACTACAGCGCTCGTTGCGCTCTGGAAGGAAAGCCCGGCGGTCCAAATCACATCGACCTTAAGAGTGCGTCATGCTTTGCCCCACGTTTTGAGCGTACGACAGCGCTTAGGAGACAAGGGAAATATAGTTCTTGAACCAGCGTACCCTGAGCTGGCACGGTCCATACTTCGCGATCCAATCCCTTGAGGATCCAACCGCGAAGTATGTCCAGCTCACTAAGAGAAGTGACTCCAGCTACGCTTCACCCTTAGTGGTCAGAGAGCAACGAAAGGAAATATGGTAAGGAGCCTACGAATACAAACGCATAGAGAGACGCTAGCCTGCAGCAAGGGCAGGGAACCTGGGGCGAGCAAGGAGGGGGGCTGTAGACACCTGCTAATTGCGGACCGTTTCATGAAGTACTGCAAAGCTACGTAATAGCAGCGTAACTTTTTACATCGATAACCAGTAACTTCATCCGTTCTTTCGAACTCCTTTTTTTCAAGCTCATGTGAGATACGTCTAGTTCATGTACAAAGAGGCGCTCCGATACCACTAGAACATGAAATTTATGCCAAATAGACCACAAAAAGCTGAGAGAAAAATATGTGAAAAGTGTCACGCAGTCTGGAACGCGTTAGGAGCTATGGCTGAGAAAGAATAAGCATGGAAGTCTGATTTCAATAATAAGGCAGACCGAAAATGAACATGCTGTGAGACTCTACAAAATGTTGTAGTTCAAAAAGCCAGCAGTGCACACCTCCCCAGGGGGAAAGAGAAAAAGATGAAACAACCCAATAATAATAAAACAACAAACAAATAAAAAAACAGAAATATTGCGACGGTAAAACGTCGTTTCAGCACCGGTAAATAACGCGCCAAACGAAACAAGTTTATTTCAGCAAAACGAATAAGTAGGACCCGTCGATATTGATCAACAAGAAGAGATAAGCAAAATGCGAAAATAAAACCTATCGGAAAATGAATGAACTAACGAACGCGAGCAATACCATTGCTAACAAGTAAATTTCTACTTAAATGGAACAAATGAAACAAGTGAACAATCAACAATTAACAAAAACATTGAAGTTAAAAATTTGATAAAAACGTGACTCAAACAAATCTGCTCGGCTATCCTATTACTGCACAAGAAAATGACGTCTAGTACATAACTATATAAAAACTTACCTTACACCCATTGCACTAATTGAAACTTCCTCTTACCCCAACACACTAAAGTGAGATCTGGTGCTTTAGGAAGGATCACCTGCTCGAGAACAAGTGGGGCCGCGCTGTCGACGGTCTGAAAAGAACTATTATTGGCAAACAGGATACCAGCTATGGCAGAAAATTCGCTGATTTAGAAACAGACCTTTTCTCCGTTTATTTTGAAGGCACCTTTCGTCATCAATGCTGAACCCTTCACATTGTCTGTTCGAGTCCGATCGGCCAGATCCCCAAGAGAGTTTGACTTCAGTTACGAAACCACCACTTTCACTGTGCTGCCAAACAACGACAACAATTCAGCTCTGCTTAGAGAGCGAACATCCTCCATTGAGCCTTAAATCAGGAAGAATAAGTGTACGTAACGTAGTGAAAGGTAAGTCTGGGTCCAACCAAGATACGCGGCGAATCGGGTAGGAGAATATCTTGAGATTTTCACATGTTCCAGCTAAGGCGCCTTCCAAGATACAAGCAGCGTAATGAAAAACAAGAAGGGGAAAACAGTACGATCAAACTTACTACAGTGTCCCACGGGCATAAAGTTTATGAGACTGTAAAACGAACCTTGAAAGAGCGCTCTAGAACACCGTTGAGCCGTACTCAATCCTTCATCTCCGTGGACGATTCGTGTGAGCTCACTGGCAAGAGCATCCTGTGCGATCCACTTCCCCAGGTTTGCTCGGTGTTCTTCAATCTTTGCCAATACATGCTCCCATGGAGCCAAACTGTAAAGCAACATGTAGGTTTATGGGCGCTGTTCGGCTTCATGGGGACATTTAGCACTTTAGCTAGCACCTCCTTTTAGTTCATGTTAACTAACAAGTATCATTTTAGACAGACTTGTAGTGTCCAATGAAGCTAAACATTGTTGGAGTAAGCCACTTTGATCACAGGAAATCACAGGTTTTCTCAATGCGACCACGAACGAGACTTAAATTCTGGCACCTCTGGGTGTTTCCCCTGAGCTGATAGGTGTGCACAGTTCTTTATCGAGGGCAGAATCGTTGCAAGTGAAGTTACGTACGCGGCATTCACATTAGTTATCCAAACAGGCAAGGTTTCACGCTAACTGGTTAGGAACTGGCTTGCCCTCGCTCTCAACTACGTTAGCACCATGGGCAAGCTCGGCCTGGTGGAGGCACCAAATGGTACTCAGCGAAGCTTATACATGCAACCTTCTGAGCACCTGTTAATTCCTGTAACCAACGCGACTTACTTGCATCATTTAGCGGCTCCACAACCACACCCCAATCAAACCTGTCAGCTAGCGAAATGTCCCTCCCAAGCCTAACGGCGCCATTGAATGTACAATTTGTTAAGCTTTGCAAACATGTCATGAGAAACAATTACAAAAGTCGGTGTGAAATGACTTAAAAAATATTTGATGAAAAGCCAGCACCTGTACTGTTTATACATTAGCTCGGCTTCTGGGTCATGCAACTGACGAAGAAATTGATAAAAGTGAAATGGTGATGTGAGCTCCGCACTAAGCCAAACATCACCTCCACCAACTGATTTCCCTAACTTGTTCCCAGCACTGTCTGTCACTAGGGGTAAGCAGACGCCTAAATTAAGGTTGGATTGAGTCATTTTTCTACAGAAGAAGCCAAACTGCACAAAGGACATGCAGCTCTACATACCTGCCGCGAATGTTCCTCCACACGTCCTCTTGATATAGTGAGCACCAAGATCTAAGTGACCCAGCTGGTCAGATCCACCAATCTAAACAGGAAGACTTTAGATCTCTGCAAATCTCAAGGAGTTTTTCAGCACATTTCGAAAAAAATTGGCTATACTGGACTCCCCCCTAACCTATTTCTCATCCACCTAAGATTTAAGGGCCCTAAATTTGCCTCATTTTTTTTCATTGAGCACCATACGATCTCGGTGACACAGTATTTATGTCACTCTGCGCACTGATTACGAGAACCAACCAATCTGAAACTTGACAAACCAGAGACAGTGACCGCATGGAATACGGTTTGAGGAAATTTGGGCGTAACTGCGAGGTGGGGGTTCGAGCACTTTTTTTAGCGAAAAACCGGCACAACCGTGATTCGATTCCCCCTTGTGCACGAAGAAATTTGTTCATTTATTTCAATGCCCCTTTCCAGACATCGGTAGAAACACCGATCTCTAACCTCATTCTTGCACAGGCAGTCCTTCTATTGCCCACCCCTGTTTTGTGGAAAGAAATTTCGGTAGCTGCACAACTACATTCCCAATCGTCCTGTTAGCAATATTATGACGACGGGGTGGGAGGGGGAGGGGGAGTTTTGTATTTTTGCTAGCTCCCACCTACGTGCGGAGCCACAGGTGGTAACTTGTGAAGCCATGGAATGATACCAGCCAGCGTTTGCAGAAACTACTGGTCAACTTTTGTCAAACAATAAATACCAGACAAATAAGATTTACCAGCTTGGCGCGCCTGCTCTAGGTTCACAATGGTTCACAGGTTTTACCGAGGTGAGACTTGTAAAGCTCAACTAATAAAGCAGTGTACGTGCAAAATGCCCACCCCCGTCGCCGAATTGTATCTAGTATTCTTACAAACTCCTATAACAACAATTTCAAAAGCTTTATAAAGAACCTGAAACCTGCAGTTATACTTCTTCAACATCATCGCCCAATCGTACGCCTGCATGGTCTGGTAGCTGAATTCCGTGAATGAAATTCCACTGTCCTCTAGCCGAGCCTTCACAGCTCCCATTCGAAGCATTTCCCCGACGCGCAACTGCTTACAACTTCTCAAAAAGTCCACCACTGACATCTAAATAAATGTTACAACAATTTTAAAAAATGTTCTTCGACTACTCTGCCATAAGAACCAAACATCATAAATCATGAGTATAAACAAAAACAAAAGAAATACCTCTTTGAACCACTCATTATTGTCCACTACAGTGATTTCCTCCGTCAAAACATTATTCGCAATGTTCTTCAATTGAACAATGATTGCTTTCGTATTTTCCATTAACTGCTCCTTGTCTTGAGCCTCGCGCTCTAGATTCAATCAGTCTTTGATCACTGGTTAGGGTCGAGAGAGAAAAGTAGCGGAATGGCTCACCAACCAGCAGTCCTCCCACTTGGGTCACCAATCGCTGCAGTAGCGCCACCAACAACAGCAATAGGCCGTACACCAAATTGTGCACTTCTCAGGAGGTTCACAACAACTAATAGATTACCGATGTGAAGACTCTTCGCAGTTGGATCAAATCCAGCATATACAACAGGAGGCAACGCTCTGGAATATGAGTGGATCTGATATGAGCGCCCACTATTAAGCAGAAAAAAAACACGCCTTTATTCAGAAATACCTTCTCGTAGCCGTTTATACGACAAGACTATCATTATATGCCATATTGGGCGTAGGGAGTGATTACGCACACACGACAGATGGTTGTCCTGCCCCTTCATTTAAATTTCAATGTCAGGCTGCGTTCATACCCTGCGTCAGCGACGCTGGCGAACGGCAGCATTTCAAGCCTATGCCTGTGCCAGCGACCACGAAAGTATAAATATCGATCCAGCGAACGCCAGCATGAGCTAACAAAAGCAGCGCTTCCGTGGCAGTGTTCTTGCTCCCAAGCTCAAAGTCGATCACGAAACGCTGGCGTTCGCTAGATTGATTGATACATTTTCCTAGTCGCTACCGCTGACGTATGCTCGAAACGCTGCCGCCCGCTAACGCAGCCTTGAAGGGACGGGAAAGACCGATATGAGGCATTGTCCACAGTCTGCGGCCCAGCGTTTCTCTGCAAGGAAACGGCGAAAATCTTTCGATACAGGTTTGACGAAGAGTCTGGCGGTTGGGCGAAACAGTTTTGATACGTATCGACGGGCGTTTCGCCGAACCGCGGCGTTTTTCGCCTTCGCGAAACGCTAGCTCGACCGCCCTGGCGTTTTTCGCCAGCGAAATCGATACGCATCTATTGCTTTTCGCCCAACCGCCGTTTCGTCAGAGTCGCAGACTGTGCCTCACACGGATGGGGACTTGCCTCCGTTTCCATTCACATGTGTTTCATTAGACCAATCGTAATTCGGGACACTGCCATGCAAGATGATGCGCGCACACGTTGGAGCGCCAAACAACTATTGTCTTGTCCTTCACCACTCGTGACCTGCTCTCTCCTCCTCGAGAAAAAAGTTCACATAAAGTAACGGGCAGTTCCAACCTTCACACCATCCTAATCTTCTAGTCATATGATACAACAAACCATCAAAGTTGAATCTCACAGGCGAGGAGGGAGGTATGGGGGGAGGGGATCGAGATGTGACTCTGAGTTTACTTCCAATCCTCTTTTTTCTGGATTACTAAGCTTTTTTGAGAACATAGTATTACGTACAGTAATTCCGCATTGAAATCAGAGTCGAGATTTGAAGGATACGACGATCGCACCAAGCTTCGAGTCTTTAGTTCAGCAAAATAACTGGCTATAGATGAATGTCTGTAATATGAAACTTCTGTATTCTGACAGAACACGAAGGAAAATGAAACGTTGAGAGCTGCCCCATTAAAAAGCATCGGTGATGCGATTCCATTTCCATGAGATTGATGTGATCCCACTTTTATGATCGTTGCTGTACTGCGATTTCTCGCCTTCGAGGACCAAGAAGTCACGCTCAATGAAAATCTCACCTCAACGGAGTAGTTGATAATTGCCTAGAAATGTGACGAAATCGGAGGAAGTTAATTCGTTGCAAGGCTTCATTGACTCGGCAGCACTGTGGCAACACCGACATTTCTGGGAAAAAGTCCAATGGCAACCGAACTACACGTTAAATAACTTAAACTAAACTTTCTAAACTAAACAAAGAAGAAAGCGTACAATTTTCTGCGGGAGCACAAAAAAGTGAAGATGCGCGAAAGCTGATGACCCATTGACAATAAAAACGCAGCGCAGCCGCATCGCGGGACGAGAGTAATCTATTTTACACGCATAGAGGAGGAGAGTTTAGAATGTTACCCTGCCCCTTTAAATTGTATTGGAGCGAACTGTCACCCCAATTCGGAACTCTGAATACGCTTCCAATATCTTGACCAAGTTACTTATACCTTGGTTTGCTGGTTATTATTAGTGATGAGCCCACATGATGTTCAGTTCCCAGCACATGCGAAAAGGACACTAAACTATTTCTTCGGGCCCACCCCTCGCAAGAAAGTCGCACATTAGATATTTATTTTTCTCGTTGATCGTTTTTGAAAAAGTTTATGGCAGTGTTTGCTGCATCTTTAGAGAGACTTGCGAAGTACTTGTGCATGAAACTAATCGTTTCCTTGGGAAAACTGGTTTAAATTCCTCATTTATGTGCTATTTAGATGGCGGATACTGCGGAAGAGGTGATGGTCGAAGCTACTAGAGAGAAGGCTCTTGTTTCAACACCAAAGGTGAGTACTG